ATATATATGGGGAGAGAGAGAGAGAGAGATACCAGCAGCTTATCATATTGCATGGCCAAGAGAGCAGCAATGAAAAAAGTCTGTTAAAATAAAGAAAAGTTAATGCTAAGCAAGATTTGATACGTTCTGTTGCAGTTGAGAATAGAAACAGTACATAACATATAAATTTCTACTTGCACTCATTTATGTTAATCATTCATGTCCGAAAATAAGCTTTCAGTAGGCATCAGCCAAAGAAAACTTCATAAAAATCACTTCTTATTGCAGTGTTTTCACCTTATCTCCAATCTCAGAAACAAATATCAAAGAGAATGCAGCTGTGAAGCCCGACTTTGCAAGGGCTGGTAATATTGATGAAGGTCCTTTTGTAAAGAGAAAAAGTAAAAATCCTGCTGCGCATGCACAAAGCACAAGTGCTGTAGGAAATAGATTCGGAACATGATCATGAGATGCCCCGCTGTCATGAAGTCAAACAAATTAGTCGGGAAAAATTGGTAAATGTCTAATAGATCCATTTTTGGAGCAAAATCACGAGTAAAATACCAGACAATTATAAGGTGATCCACATAAGCTTTACTGTTGTACTACTTACATGAAAAGAAGCAAAAATAAATACATTCAACATAATATTCTTGCTAATTTAGTGCGGAAATTACACTACTTATACATAAAGTTCTCGATAATTTAATGGGAAAATTACACAAACTATCTACTGCTTACAGCTTGAATACAAAATAAAGAGCAACAAAGTTCCAATTATACACAAATAAAAATCTCGCGACTTTTGATTTTACTTAACATTGAGGGAGACAGAATCAAATCTCAAGGTGTTTCCATAATTTTGAGCTCCCCTAAGTCTTTCCAATTTGTAAATGCAACAAACCTTAACTACTTTTCATAATCGGCTCTAATTTATAATTAATACCTCAAAACATGATTAGCCAATCCTTCACTTAAGTTCCTTTCGTCTTTTTAGCTTAAGAAGACTCGCAGATTCACATAATACTCGTAATAATCAAAACATTGGAATCCAGATAAAGAAGCCTTTCCCCAACGTATGATTTAGAATTTAAATTTTCTAATGAGCATGAATTACAAACATTTTAGAAGAATCATCACTATGATGGGCATCGGCAGAGGTTCTGTGGCTGTCATTATTTTCTTGCCTCTCTTCATAGCCATCAGACCCACTTCCCACATTTAGTGCATGTGCTCTAATTGTTCTTTGTCCACTAGCATCTGACTTTGATACCTCCCTGCATCTCACTGTGGAACATAAAAAAGAAAAATTCAATTACCAACATAAAGATAGGTTATTTTTTAGTATAAAATAGAAACGGCAAAAATATTGAGACTGCAAGTGCTTGATCATGCTAAGAGCATTTTGTTGAATGAGCCATGTAAAGATTATAATGAAATACTAAGAAAACACAACATATCACAATTATCGAGCATTCCAACAAATACTTGAAAATTGACTATGTGATATCAACCTTCAAAACCCAAATGTCAAATGATGGTTATGACATACAGCAGAGAGCTCAGACTCCAAAATATAAAGGTGCTCAAAGAATGTATATGCAGTAAGTATCACTTCTATAATTCATAGAATCCGGAAAAACAAGATGATAAGCTCCTAATTTAGAATAAGATTCGGTTGCTAATAAAGGCTCCTGTCCAACCTGATCATACTCCTCTTCTTGGCTATGGTAAAAATATGCTTGGTGTTCACAGAGGAAACATAACTCCAAATTATCCATCATGCATGATGTGCATATTACAGAACTTCGATCAGTTGACATAATATTACAGCTATATGTCTATAACAAAATTCAATGTGGAGATTTGAATGCGCATTCTAGCCTATCAATTCGAACAACCTAGCCTATCCATTCAAACAACTAGTTCAGTCTTTTCATAAGTTCTTCCTTTTTTTCCGTCTTCCACATGGTGAGTCTTTTATAACCTTGGTAAAGAATAAACTAGATTCCAGCAGATATTCTCAAGGCATAAGGATCCAGAAAACGAAAATCTAAAGATCTCTGAATTATATCTTCGCTTCGCTTCGTTCGTTGGGTCGATGTAATTGAGAGAAAACCTTGATTGACTTGCAGTCACCTACTCTCCAACGCATACCGGCCTTAATGACTTCTCGACCCCAGAAAAGGCTTCTCCAGATGAATGACGAACCCGGACCGGGTGAAGCTTCTAGGAATGAGCAGGAAGGAAAATACTTGGATTTGAAAACTCGAGACACTAAGGAATCCGGTTCCGAAAGGACCCTCCACGCTTGTTTCCCCAGCAAAGCCTGATTAAACTTTGAAAGATCTCGGTAGCCCAAACCGCCAAGTTGCTTTGGACAAAGTTAATCTGCACCATTTAACCCACGACAATTTCCTTTCACCCTCCCGGGATCCCCACCAGAATATCTTTTCTGTTTTCCTATGAAATCTCAAAGTCAGATGTACAATTCGAAAGAAATGTTTCACTACAACTTTATTCTTTAGTGGTAGAAGTCTCTTCTTTCAAGTCAATCAACCACAGTTCAGTCCCAAGTGACTGCCTGTGTTCCCTCTTCTGATATCCCAATAATTGACCTCACAAAGCCAAAACCATTATATATAGATAATTAGATACAGATATATTAACCCAAAATGTAATCTCTCATACACCCAAAATACCCAACCACCTAAAAACTAACTAAAGATACAAAAAACCAAAATTTCTTTCAAGGTTTTAAATAGCGGGCTAAAACGTTTATGGCACTGTAGCTATAGCGGAAATTTAGCGGCTAAATTGCACATGAATACAAATAGCGGCACGCTGCCAAAAAAAATTATTTCTCAAATAGCGGCAACTTTAGCGAGCTATTTATTTCCTTGATTTCTTTACATAATCTACAGAAGAAGTAATTACAAACAAATACTTAACACAATTACTTTGCACAGACAACACACAAACCAACTAGAATCAAGCACAAAGCTGCAGTCTTTACTAGTATTATCAACAGCTAAATATGGATAATCCCACTAGCTCAAGAAGATAAAAAAAAATAAATAAATAAAATAAAAGAACTAGAGAAGTTACATGAAGAACAAGAAGATGGTCTGAAAGTTCTCCTGGGCGCGAAGGGGCGAAAGGGCAGTAGATCAAATGAATCAAAAGCTGGTAAAGTTTTGTTCTTTACTGATGAGACCAAAACTTGGGGCGTCTGGACAGCCAAAGCTTGCATTTTTTGTTCCTTTTTTCTTTAGTTTACCAATCGAGTAATCTGGGACAGCTACAGCGGCGCGAGCTTCATTTCCCACAATTGTTTGGTTCTTCACACACACACACGCTGTGAGAGAGAGAGAGAGAGAGAGAGAGAGAGAGAGAGAGAGAGAGAGAGAGAGAGAGAGAGGAATGTGAAGATGAAGATGAGGAGTGAGAGAGAGAGATTGTGTGGCTATTTCCTTGTGGCCTTGGGACTTTGTGGCTTTACAGTGAGTTCTTGGAAGTTGGAACAAATGAGAAATTTTTTATTTTTCTGAAATTAGGTAGTGAAAAAAGTTCTACTCAAATTAATTGATAGGAGTTTTGAATATAAATAAAAAAAAATTACTTTAATTATTATTTATTTTATATAATTTTACAAATTTAGTAGAGTAAAAAAAAAAACAATCATGTTATATAATCTTTCAAAAATATAGTATTCATTTAATCACATTTTCAAGATTGTAACACTTTTGTTAATTTTTTCACTTTTCATAGAAGTAGTATTTTGAGTGACACTTTAATAAACACTATGAAATGGAATTTGATATGATTGTAATAGTTCTCTTCTTTAACATTATGTTATTAGTAAAATAACATTTTATGAAATAAAAAATAATATGTTGATGGGTCACTAGCTGGATCTGGGTAGAACCATTTGAGATAAGCTCCGATCTATTTGAACTGCCACGTGTGTACCTACAAGAACTCAACGTCAGAGGAAATTTTAGCGAAGAGCCTTCGATGCCTAAGTCAGTTCAAGAAGATGATGGTGGTTCTCTGTGAATAAAAGTAGTATAGAATTATGGAGAATGTAAAAAAGATTTGGTGATACCTTAATCCATTTTATAAAAGAATACCCGCCTGAAATGCTATGCCCAAGTGACCTCGGAAAGCTTGCCTGACTGCAAGACTTAGTTAGTGCTTATCCATATCTTACCTTTAAATTTTATCTTATCCTCTTAAGACTTCCTTATTATCCTTGGTTTCAACTGGTTTAGGTCACATTTTCATCAGGTCATCTCCGCATAGTCGAGGTCGAGTTATATTAAGTCTTGAGGTTGCTTAGGTCGTTTTCCTAACCCAAAGCGTCGCACCTATAGACCGTCAATCTTATAGGTCGTCTGGTAGTGAGGTCGTCCCATCACTTGGGCTCGTCGATCCTCTTCTGACACCCGTCTTTGAAGTAAGTCAAGCTCTAAACACACAATTTTCCCAATCCACTTAAATGGCTATATCATATGTGATATTCATATAGTAAAAATTTATAACAAATTACAATATATTATGATTACAAATTATAGAATTAAAGACAAGTTACCGTTTCTTACTTTATATATTTTTATAAAATAATAACTTTCATAATTCTTTAAAATTTAAAATTAATTAATTGATTATATAATTAACATGATGACTCGATACCAACATGAGTCGGAACTGAGAAGAGTTAATTATAATACATATATTTATTAACATTTTTTAAATATATTATTCAAAAGTTACTAAATATTATAAACAAATGGTATTGCAATGAATAAATTGTATTAAAGTAAAATATATATACTCATTTATTTCTTCGTTCATGGTTCGATATTCTGGTGTCCTAAACGTAGAAGAACCACAAAGTTTATTAAAGTAAAATAAAAATATTCATTTCATATTAAATATTTAATAATATCTTTTACACTCATTTATATAAATTATTTAGTAACAAAATATTTTTTAATGGGTAACAATTACTATTTCAAAAAAATTCAAACTTTTATATATATATATATAAATTTTTTTAATAAATATTAATTTCTTTCTATAAAAATATTATATTGATTTTAACCCACTACTTCCTCACACATAAAATCTGCAAAGGAAAAACTGAATTAAAGAAGCCCTAAGGCCAGCCGACCCTGTTCTCTCCGTAAGTTCTCTTCATCTTTTTTCCCTCTCATTTTTTTTTTTTTTTTTATTTACTTGAATTGTTTGGCCATTTTTGATTCAATGTACCAGTTATTCACGATGATCTGACCTGCAAACCGCTCAAAGTTCTTGCCTTTTCATTTGTTCTGAATTATGCAGTTAACGTGTATGTATATATGCTATGGTGTGTAGTTATGCTCAAGGCGATTCATCTCGCTATAGTTCGTTGTTTCTTGTGCGTTTTTCTCTGTAGGGTTTTGTTTGGCGTAAGATAAATCTCATCGCTGCTCAAATCACAAATTCTCTTAAAAAACACTGAATTTTCTCGCGAGGTCTTTGCTTTTTGTTTCCTCAATCCCTCGTTTTTATCTGCTGATTGATTAAAAAATAAAGTACAGCAAAAGGGCGGAAAAAAAAAAATGGATGGGAATGGAAACATGAATTCGAGAAATTGGGGTTTTCTTGATACCCCAACCTCCACTCTCAAGAATGAAAATCACCTGGGCCTTCAGCTAATGTCCTCCATTTCTGAAAAGTCCCTTTTCGACACTGCTGGGGCCCACGGCCACGAAGACTCGAATCCGGCCTCCACCAATGTCGGTCCCTTCCACCCTCACCGAGTGGGCGGCATTACCGAGTCCCACTTCCCCATGGACTACTATTGGATGAACCAAAACCACGAGAAGTACCTGAACATAATCTCCGGTAACCACCACCAAACTTATTACCTGCCGAGCTGCGGAATCTCTCCCGAGACCCCTAAGCCCATCATAAATCTGCCCAAAGACGATAAAATTGCCTCGGAGACTGACCCCACAACTGAGAAGAGAGAAAAAAGCCGTGGGTCTGCAGCAAAGAAGAGAGGCGGTGGCCGGACCTCAAACCAGGCCCTGGCCCAGAAGGAGAAGAAGCCAAGGACCAAATCCCCTCGGGCCCCACGTGATGGTCCGGGCCCCCCCTCATCGAACAATCGTGCCAGGGCCCCCAAGAAACAGGCTGAGATCGAAATCAATGGGATGCATATGAATGTTTCTGATATTCCCACACCAGTCTGCTCTTGCACAGGCACCCCAGAAAAGTGTTACAGGTGGGGGTCGGGCGGGTGGCAGTCCGCATGCTGTACCACCAAGCTCTCTGTATACCCCCTTCCCATGAGCACCAAGAGACGTGGAGCCAGAATTGCAGGCCGGAAGATGAGCATAGGTGCTTTCAAGAAGGTACTGGAAAAACTCACAGGCGAGGGCTATAATTTCTCGAGCCCGATTGATCTTAGGAGCTATTGGGCCAAACACGGTACAAATAAGTTTGTCACGATCCGGTGAGGCTTCTGTGTTGCATTTTGTGGCTGTTTTTTTGTTGAAATGCATGCGGGCACTCAGTTTTGTGATGACATGGGGCATGGAAGCAGAAGCTTCTTGGTGGTTTTCTGACTTGGGAGTTAGAGTTCTAGTTGTTGTGGCTTTTGAAGCAGCACCTTGGATGAATGATTTGGTTTTTAGCTGTTCAAATTTTGGGTAGTTGAAGGAATCAGTAATTTTGTGTAGTCTAGTGGTGTGGGAACGATTCTTTCAAGACTGGTTTTGTGCTATTTGTAGCGCCGTTTTTACTTTTTCTGAGGGTGATCTTGGCTGTTAAAGATACAATTTGCTTTAATGTTTCTTGGTTCAAGATATTCTTGAAATAGTAATGTTGTTAGTTACAAATTTTGGCTTTCATAGCAAGATTATTGAAGCAAATTGATTATCTATGTGGGTTGTAATCTTGGTTATGATGAAACTGTCAAATGATGAATGACCTAAATCCCCTGGGACGCTGCTCAACCAAACATGGATATATTAACGTACTATTTTGCTACTTAGAAGATATGAGACTTCTTTTAATCCAGGTACGTGACGGATAATGTTTTCGTGAATTTTCCTTATAATTTGAACAGGTTTCCTCAATTGTGTAGATGCTATAGGAGATGATTGTTGGTTTTGTTCATCAATGCTGTTATTAGTTGTTTTTTTTTCTCCTCCCAATTTCATCAATGCTGGGTTTGTGATGTTTTTAGGTTCTGATGTGGATCTGACCTTTTGTTTTTTTACGCCGTGTTGTTTATACTTGTTTGTGGTAGATGGCAACCATTATTAGAATATTAGGTTGTGTACAACTTTTGGCTGGTCGGTTTAACTTGGTTAGATTGTGTTCAAAGTTTATTTTCACCATTTCGGTGAAAGATAGGAAGTAGTTCGTATTTTCGAACGAAATAATGTAATTAGTGTTTATAGACTCAGACAATCGCCTGTAAAATTATGCAATGTTCTAAAAATTTGACGAACTGAAGATATACCGAGGCTTACTTCCTTCTATAAGGTGATGGCTGGTTGTGTTGTAGAACTGCAAATGGTGTTTGTTTAAGAAATGGGACCTCACTAACAATGGCTTTTGTTCTATGAAGATATATGGGGACTGAGATTTATGGATTTTGAAAGATAAAAAACTATTATGACATAAATGGCTTTTTCTTTCAGTTTTTCCTCCTTTTTGGGATATTGATCAGATGTGTTAAATACTTAAATGTCATTTTAATTTTATTATTTATTGTTTTGACCTTTTGGAAGTGAGGTTATGATGAAAGCCTTTGAGGCGTTATTTACTTCGCTAAATAGGATTATACAAAGTGGTCAACCAACCAACTTGGCACGTCAGCATATCAATCCTATGTTTACATTATGAGATTAAAAATTCCGAGAACAAAATGGGCATTTTTAAAGAGGGATAAATAATTCGAGGTCCCCTCAGAATGAAATTATCGCCCTATAGATGATTATCGTGTGGGCCCTGCTGCCACATATACGCCACATAAGCTATATCCTATCTCTGTCATTTGTAGTAAACATTAGTTTTACGGGGATAATTTTTATTATCCTATCCTATTTTTTTTTTTTTCCAAACGGATAAATTTTATTAGCTCAGAATCAGAACAACTGTTTTACATGCGGACATCAACTGAAGCTAAAAAACAAAAGGGGGATGTGAATATGCTAATTTCATCCCCTACTTAAACAAAACCTATACAAAATAAGCCTGCTAACCAAACTGGATTAAATATATACAACCAAAAGAGAGGCCAAAACATTTACAACACCACACTAAACCACCATAGGCTCTGAGACTACCATCTAAATTGTGTGCAGCAAATCTTGCATCCAAGACAAGAAGGGGCACTGACAATAACAAGATTGACCTACCATTCTTCTTATCCTGTATGCTCAGTTCTGCAAAGAAGTCAAGGCTTGTGCATCTGAAAATTCCTGCCAGTCCTGAAGTGCTTTATCTGCAATCTCTTTATCCTCCACCCATTGTTTCTTGAATAGCCAAATATTGCGGGTCTTCCGCAGCCACCAAAGGATGTAGGTTGTTAATTCTATTCTGTCCTTCAAGCAGCTGCCCTTTTCAATCAAACAAATCTCTCTCCACCACAATTGAAATGAGTGTTCCATTCTCTTTAGACCTTCCCATTGTACTCCAGCCAGTTTCCACACCCTTTGAGCTCTGCTACAGTTAAAGAAAATGTGTTCAAGGTCTTCATCCATTTCCCCACATGCACTACAAATACTGTCTTCAAGCATTCCTCTTCTTCTAATCTGGTCTTTAGTAGCCAAGAACATGTGCCAACATCTCCACATAAACATCTTTATTTTATTTTTGACATTGAGGCTCCAGGTTTTCCTCCACATCTTTTTCATAAATTTAAGATTTTTACTGGAGCATGGGATTCCAGTGTTATTCTTTATCTTCTCTTCTAGCAGCTTGTATGCAGATTTGACTGTAAATTTGCCATTAGAATTAGGGTACCACACTGCTCTATCTTTAGACCCTCTTTTGGGAGAGGGAAGCTGCAGAATCTGTCTAGCATCAGCAGGGTGAAATGTTTGCTCTATAAGGTCTTTGTCCCATCCCTCACCCTCATTTTTCTGTAGCTCATTAACTGTTTTAAGAACTCCTCTATCTCTTTCAAACAAGCACAACGGTTTAAAGGAAGGGTTTTTAGGTAACCAAGGAGACTCCCAAATGGATATGGTACACCCATCCCCCACTTTATACATCAACCCCAATTTAAGAACATGCCTGACATTCAACCATGACTTCCACAACCAAGAATCTAAGCTCCTAGGACAAACCTCCATCAGATTTTGGTTGTGGAAGTATTTACCCTTCAGAACCTTACTGATCAAAAGATTTGGTTTGGTAATAATTCTCCAAAGTTGTTTCACAAGCAATGCCTCATTGAATAAGGTAAGATTTTTGAATCTCAACCCCCCACATTCCTTTGACTTAGTGAGATTTTCCCAACTACCCCAGTGAATCTCCTTTTTTCCCCCCTCATTAGATCCCCACCAAAAATCACCAACAGATCTACAAATATCCTGACACATCATTTTAGGAAGTTTAAAACAAGACATAACATAAGTGGGTAAGGCATTGAGCACAGTTTTAATTAAAATATCCCTCCCAGCTTCACTAAGAAAGTGATTTTTCCAGTTTGTAACTCTAGAAATGACTCTTTCTGACACAAATCTGAAAGTTTCAATTTTGGACCTACCAATACCTAATGGAAGCCCTAAGTAATTAGAAGACTTGACTACTACAATCCCATCAAAATAATAACAGATCTCATCTTTAACCTCATCCAGTGCATTTTTGGAGAAAAGGATAGAAGACTTACTGAGGTTAATGATTTGACCAGAAGCTTGACCAAAATTATCTAAAATAGAAGAAAGGGCTCTAGCATTAGACACTGAAGCTTTACAAAAAAAGATGGAATCATCTGCAAAAAGAAGATGAGTTACTGCAGGGGAAAATTTACCTATTTTAATACCTTGCAAGTTGGTATTAGCACAAGCTTGGTTGATCAGGTTAGTTAGGGCTTCACTCAAAATAATAAAAAGGTAGGGTGACAGAGGGTCACCCTGCCTAAGCCCTCTAGAAGGCTTAACAAAACCAGTAGGATGGCCATTAATGTTGAAAGAAAATGAAGATGAATTCAAGCAGGCAAAAATCCAAGAAACAAAAATATTGCTAAAGCCCATTTTCAAAAGGATTTGCATAAGGAAATTCCATTCTACTCGATCGTAGGCCTTAGCCATATCAATTTTTAAAGCCATATAAGCCTCTTTCCCTTTTTTCTTACTATTCAAAAAGTGAATAACCTCATTAGCTATTACTACACTATCCAAAATCTGTCTGTCTGGAACAAAGGCAGACTGGTTTGGGGAAATACAAAGATTTAGGACATTTTTTAATCTATTAGCTAATATCTTAGAGATTATCTTATAAGTAACTGTACATAGGCTTATAGGTCTGTAATCAGTGATAAAAGATGGGTGCTGAATTTTTGGTATAAGAGTAATCACAGTGTGGTTGGTTTTTTGGGGGATAGCACAGTTTTGGAAAAATTTTTGAATGGCTGAACATAGATCATATTTGACAATAGACCAGCAAGATTGAAAAAGGAGAGGGGTCATACCATCTATACCAGGTACTTTGTGGGGATTCATCTCCATCAAGGCTCTTCTGATTTCTTCCTCTTGAACTGTTGAAATTAAGGCTTGATTTAGATCATCAGTTATCACTGTCTGCATGCCCTCCAAACTGCATTGCTCTATTCTTGGACAGGAAGAATTGAACAGGTTGCTGAAGAAATCTTCTATTTTTGTAACAATATCTTTTACATTTTGACATACCCCACCATCTCTTCTGACCAGTCTTTCTATGCAGTTCTTTTTTCTTTTTTGATTTACACAGGCATGAAAGTACCTGGTATTTTTGTCTCCCAATTTCAACCACTGGATCCTTGCTTTCTGTTTCCAATACATTTCCTCATCATGGTAAGCCTGGTGTACTTTTTTCTGCAGCTCAACCCACTCCTTTCAATCTCTGTCACCTCCAAGTTCTCTTAGCACATTCAGCCTTGAGTTGTAGGTTTCTATAAGTATAGCTGAGTTTGTCACAAACTTGGTCTTCCACCCCAGCAGAGCCATCTTGATGTTTCTGATTTTGTTTTGGATCTTGTACAACCCCACTCCATTTGCCTTCTGTGTCCAAGCCTCAGCTATGACTTCTTTGAACCCTTCCATTATAATCCATCTACCATCCAGATAGAACCTTTTTTTCCACTTCCTGCTTTCTTTTTCAGTGTTGAGTAAGAGCAGACAATGGTCAGAGGATATAAGATGCACATGATGAACAGTAGACTGGGGGAAGGTTTGGGCCCATTCAGGAGACAATAAAACCCTATCTAACCTCTCTTCAACATAGCCTTCATTAAGCCTATTAT